GTTTAGGATTTAGGGTTAGGGTTTTTGGGCTTTAGGATCCCTAACCCCAACACTCCTAAAACTCAAAAATCCCTGGACCCCAAACCCCAAAACCCCGGATGCAACCCTAAAGCCCCCAAGCAAGGACTCCTTGGCTTTGCCAGCCCCCTCTGTCAGGTTCTGAGCCGCGCATGTTGCTCTTGGCCATGACCTGAAATAGGAGGGCTTTCGTTTAACATAGGAGCTTTAAAGAGCCTTAGTTGGAGGTTCATGGGTAGTTATAAATAGGGTTATAAGTAGGGTAAGTATAATTATAACCCATATTAGGGGACTTATAACCATACTTAGTTTTCAAATCTAGGGTCCCTTTTAGGGTCCTTTTTATAAGGGCGCCGTACTATATTTGGGACCTAAAAAGGGACCCTAATTTAGAGAACTACCCATAGGAGCTTTAAAGAGCCTTAAACTTTAGATAATGGCTTGTAGGTATATCCCTAAATCCTACAGCCCTACTTGTGATATACTTAGTACTTGTATGGTGGCTTCGCGTTATAGCTCCAAACCCTATAAACCTCCTAATGTGGTTAAGGCATGTCCCCACCCTACGTACAGTAGAAGCCCAAAAGTGGGAAGGTCAATAGCCTCAACCCCTGAGAGAAATGTAGAGGGAATCATGTAGAGGGAATCCCAGCACGAATTCTCCGTTATTGGGCATCCAACTGTTGGGGTAAACCCTATTCAAGGTGCATGAGTCATTCGAAAATCGGACGAGTCCTGCGGTGGAGGGTCTAGGAGCGCGGCGGCTACGACAACAAGGGGGTTTAGGTTTTAGGGTTGGTTCCATTGTGTTGAAGACTTTGAGGTTTGCAGAACTCTGCAACTCGAAACCCAATGAACTTAAGAGGCGGATCTGATGTTACAATTACCTATAAACTCGGAAATAGCTATGCTAGATATCAGTTTAAACCCAAAGCACCCTAAACTTAACAGCCTAAACCCCAAAACCCCGGACCCTAAACCGACTCTAAGGGATGCCGGCATGGGGGATCGCTTGAAGAGAACTACGAAATCTTTGTGCCACAACAAAAATAAAGAGATTCACAAGGTGTAGAAGGGTTTCTGGAGGGGCTTTTGGAGGGGCCTTAAACCCTAAACCCTAAACCTTAAACCGGGAATGGGCTTGTTCAGGGTTTGGGGTCTGAAGTTGGGGAAATCTGAAAAAAACTTCCGCTACGAAGTCCGCGGCCAGGTTGCCACCCGGAGGGCATCTTGCTGAGGTCGACTACGATCGAAGGCCTCCAAAAGCCCCAGCAGCTACCCTAAGTCGGCTGCTTTGGAGTTCGAGTTCAAGGAAACCCTAAACCCTAAAACCTAAAGCCCTAAAGCCCTAAAGCCCAAAACCCTAAAGCCCCTAAACTAAACTCTAAAGCCCTACACCAAACCCCCAAGCCCCAAAGCCCTTAACTCTAAAACCCTAAAGCCCCAACGCCCTAAAGGCTCCAAGCCCCTAAGGCCCTTAAGCCCTGAGCCGTGGGCTTCGGCTCGGTTTTGGGTTTAGGGTTTAGGGTTTAGGGCTTCGGGTTTAAGGCCTAGGTGGGCCTAGGGTGTAGGGTTTAGGGCGTAGAGTTTAGGGATTACGGTTTAGGGTTTGGGGTTTAGGTACTTTCAAGGAGGCAGAAATAATGATCATGGACTCGTCTGGCAGTAAAACTAAGACACACAGGACAGCGAGATCTCGCCCATGCGGAGCTTCCAGAAATATGACGGGAGCGACCCCTACAAAGGATTCCAAGTTCTCATGAAGCACAGGATCTGTAGACAAAGCACAGCTGTCATGAAACCCTAAACCCTAAACCCTAAACCCTATCATGAAGCGTAGGATCGCTTGAAGGGTATGGTCTGTAGTGTAAGGATCCCCAGCCCCGGGTCACTCTTTCCCTTACCCTCAAAGGACTCAGATATCAAGGCTTTGGGGCCCAAAGACCCGATTATATAAGGCTTTTGGGCTGTTTTGATGCGAAGGGTTTCGCACCTAAGCAAGCATCATGCAGACCCTAAACCCTAAACCCTAAACCCTAAACCCTAAACCGAAAAAACCCTAAGAGCGTTGAACTCGTCAGCATGTTCCGGCCTGGTCGTTCAAGACATCGATGGCAGCCTGGAGATCCAAGTCTTCCAACTGGGCTCTTAAGGGATTTAATTTTAAGTTGCCATACTAAGTTTAAGTTACCATAATTAAGGAAACACTACTATTTACCATAGATCCCTCTTGTGGTAAAATCCCTTAGCGAGATAAAAGACAAGCACCCCTGAATCGAGCCTTGTGTTGTTAAGGACGCCCGAAACCCTAAACCGTCCAAGAACACAAAGCTCGCTGCAGGGGTTCACGGGAATCGGGGAGATAGCTGAAAAAACAGCGGCTCTTTCTATTATCGCTCCCCGGGCTTTAAAATTACTTTAGGCTCGTTCTGCACTAGAAACCTGCAGAACCCTGTTGACGCGATTGAAATCCGCCTTATTTTGAGGATAGAACTCAGGCTTTGCGACCTGCACATCGAGTTAAACAGCTCTCTGCCTGTACGGGACTGCCCACACAAACACAACACTGCAATAAGCACAACAGCAACAACAACAAAACACACCGCGCACACACACACACACATGAATTTACACACACACACAAATACGTCACCCGTGTGCATGTGTGTACATACATACATACATACATACATACATACATACATACATACATACATACACACACACAGACATACATACATACATACATACATACATACATACATACATACATACATACATATACATGTGCTATCACTTAGGGTGTAGGGTGTAAGGCTGTTTTAAAGTGCAGTGGCCTTTTCGTCTGGGTGT